AGCTGAATGTTTCAGACTCCACGCGCAGAGTTCTGCCACAATTTTGCTGACTCCAAGCTTCACCTGGGCGACAAGCAGCGTGAATCAAAAACAAGTTAAACCACACATGGAATAAATTCCACACATTGTTTTTTCCCAGCGTGCTACTTTTAGAGTCTTGCCGCTACAGTAATTTAGTATGGCATTCAACACATAAAACTATACCCGCTTTTGAATCCAACAACCCAAACAATCATGGGGCTGACCCTTGGGATGCTTTTGGGATGATCCTTTCATAGAAAACAAACAATTGCTATTCGCAGAAAGAAACTTGTTCTTGCTGGATGTCCCGTTCAGCCACTATCAGAATTGGAAACCTGTACAACATGACGTCTGTCTCTAAGCCAGACCCTGCAAACAAACTTGACCATGAATACACGAAGTACTCGCTGTCCCTGTACATCTCTGCACCATCACCGTGTATTTGCACACCTATCAGTTTGGAAAACTCTTGAGTAGCATCTTGTAGATCCGGATAGTTCTTCCATGGTTCGAGGGTACGCGCATGTAGCCAGAATTGTTTGATGTCCTCTGCGTTTGTGTTACCCAACAGTAAACTCTCAAAGGCCATCTTGGCATCACATGTGGCAAGTGCGTGGATCACCTCATGCGGCAACAAGCAACTGCAGGTTACCGTAGCTTCCCTGATGCCATTCACCTGGGCGGTTGGGCGATTAGCTGTATAACCTCCTGTCAAAATCTGTCAAATACAATCACAAAAACTTTCCCCAAAATGGTACCTAAGGGAAGGCCCAAGAAGCTTTCAAAGGAACTTGGATTTGGTAAGGCTGCAGTTTTAGGTTGAAAAGGTTACCCATCCAGCAGTGCAAATCACGTTCGGCATTGGGTTGACATTTTCCAAATGCACCTAGACTTGCTAGCTTGGTAACAGTTTCATTTTCCACCCCATCCTGGAGCACAGCTCTAGCTATGTCAGTAGCACAAGCGATATCGATACGACCACGGCCAACCATATCCAGCAGTTGCTCCACACTATAGCTCCATACCATCTCATTGATCTTTCGTCGTTTCAGTGGCCTGGATTGGAGAAAACTGCATTTGTTTTGAACAAAATGAGATTTCCTCACTGTTTAATTGAACTGTTTTTGGTTTGAATAAAATGAGACTCCTCGCTGTTTAGTTTAGTTGACAATGACTGAACTGTCTTTGATTTGAACAAACTGAGATTCCTCGTTGTTTATAAATGACAATGACTGAACTGTCTATGATTTGAACAAAATTAGATTCCTCGCAGATTAGTTGACAATGACGGAACTGTCTTTGATTTGAACCAAATGAGATTCCTCAACTTTTAGATGACTGCCTTTGTTTTGAACAAAATGGGACTTCCCATGCAAACCAACCCAGGCTGCAGGCCTAGGAGTCTCAAAGTGTAGCCCGGATGCACCTGGCCGAAAGATATATGTATATTGTTATTATATATATATGTATGGCATTATGAACAGGTCAACAATCTCCAACAGGTAAAGAAGAGGTGTAGGCTCTAAGTTGGGTAACCCAGCACTGGTCACACCATTTTTTCTTGAGTTCACCTGAGAGTCGGGTGATTTTTGCTGCACCCCGGGTAGGTGGTTCAAAGCGCTTCGACAGAGCATCGCACTTGGTATCAGGCCGGGTGCACAAAGATGAGACAAAGCAGTGTTGGAGAGAAATGAACGCTAAATTGAACATCTTGTTAACAAGTTTATTTGTTGAACTCTTCTTGCACATTGGCCACCAGCAGTGCCGCTAAACCCACATTTGAACATCCAAAATCAAACGCATTGCATTTGAAAACCACTTTTGTAAAGGTTTTAGATCCTACTCTTTTTTTGCCTTGCTCTTCCTGGGGCGCTTGTTGCCCTCATCGTTCCTCTTCCTGTTGGCACGCTTCAGTCCGCTGAGAATAGAGTCTGCTGCTGCCTGCCAGATGGGATTTGGGAACTACTGTCCTTAGCCTTGTCTGGGGTCCTACCTCTTGGTGTCGAACCTTTGTCGGGATATCCAAATATACATAGAGATATAGGCGTATGAATATTAAAATAGGTAGATATATTTGGTGTGAATAAGTATTTACAAGTGCTTATGCATATATAGATGTCAACACATTTTTACCACACATTCACACACACATATATATATATATGTATGTATGTATGTATGTATGCATATTTATTTATTTATATCTAGACATGTAGACATTTTGAGATGCAAACCTGAATGTACATACGTTGACATGTATTTACATGTATATATATACATATGTAAATATATATTTATATATGTATATATATATATGTATATATATACAAGAGGCTTTGCACAGAAATGTGTTGGCATCTGATTTGGTTTTGCCTGAGAAGAACAAAATTTGTATACTTATTTTATGCAATCCTTTAGACAACCATATCCCCACCCGTTGTTCAGAGGCTGGCCTCTGCTGTGACAAACCACGCGCGATCCTTCTCAACCTTTTTGAAGCATTTCTGGTAGAAGTCATCATCATCCACGTTTGCACTGACTGCCGTTTGAAGGGTCTTGTAGTGCTTCTCCATGGTTTCGGCATGGCTCAAAAGCTGGGCACATAGCTCTCCTGCGTAGTTCACTGACCCCAAAGACATACTCTTTTTGCGGGCTGTGGTGCTCTCTGTGAGAACAGCCCCCATAAGATCAGTGGCTTTCTGGATCATGGTCTTGGGCTGGACTTCCTCAGATTTCTCCTCAGTGTTGGGCTGTTGCCTCCTTTTCTTTGGGGCTTGTTGGACACCCTCTCCGGTCAAACCTTCCAGCAAAGCTTTCTGTCCAGCTGGGTTGCTGACTTGCATGTTCGGTAGCTGCCCTGCTTGAAAGGCACCATCCTCTCCCACCAAGCATTTAACCATGTTGTCGTCAAGTTCAATCTCTCCACTGAGTCTCGTTTGGTCCTCAGTCAACTCTTTCTTGGTCACCTCCCGCGCTTTGCGCATGTAGTACATACGTTCCAAGTGGTCATCAGGGAAGTCCTCGCTGTCATAGTACAACCCATTTTTGGTTCTTCGGTCCATGAGGACCTTGGCCTTTTCCTCCCCGTAGTCTTTCACGAGCTGGGATCCCTTGACTGCTATCCATCCACTAAGACTTTCATTTGAAGACTTTCGGGTGCGCTCCATGATCATCCGGCACTGGTCCCAAGAGCGGTTGGCATCCAACCAAGCCCCGAACAAATCAGTTTTTGATTTGACCAGGTAAGGGGCCAGATCAGCAGGGAATGCCTTTCGGTTCTGGGTGGCCCTGATGAAGCAGTCCCATTCTTTCTTGTTGGTCGTACCTTATGTGTGGGCAGCTGGGAAAAGAAAGAAAATGGTCAAAATGTGAGTGAACCGAACTTGTACAAGGTTTTGCTGGTAAAATGCATGTCAAAAAGTCATAGTTAATAGGAAGGGCAAGGGGCTGTTTCGAACCAGGGCCGTTGACTTTTCGGTATTCTGAGCAACGATTGCAAGACTCTGCGTGTCCTTGTTGTCCTTGTTGTCCTTGTCCTTGTCCTGGGTTGCCATAGGGGTCACCGGTTGGGAAGGCTGCCCATCTTCCTCAGATGATTCATCTTCGCCGTCATCATCACCACTAGGCTCCTCGCTGTCCTCATCATTGGACCCGTCATCAGACCCATTGTCAGAGGCGTCATGGTCACCCCCTTCATCATCCGAATCTGCATCACTGGATTCCTCCTGGTTGGTCACAGGTTTGGCAGCCTTGGGCTTGTTCAGGAGTGCTGCAAGGTGTTCGGTCATGGAACCTGTGCTGTCAGAACCACCCTCACTCGAAGAGCTAGCTTCCTCCTCCAGTCTTTTCAACTCTTCAAGTTTGGTCTTCAAAACTGCGGCTGGTTTCTTCTTGTCTCCGGCGCATGCCTTCTCCAACTCTTCGGTCAGGTCGCGTTTTGTCACCTTGACGTCTTTGGCATCAGCCTTTCTAAGGGCTGGAGGTCTCTTGGTACTGGTACCCTTCACATTCGCTTCTGGCTGTTTGGTCTTGCTGCCGGTGCCACCAGTCTTTGGGTTGCTAGCTTTCTCCACAACGGGTTTGGTCTTGACTTTGTCCTTCTTCACTTTATGGGTAGAAGCTGTTTCAACCTTGGTATTCTTCACCTTCTCCTTTTTCTCCTTCTTCTCACTAGTCTTAGACTTGCCCTTCTTGCTGGTCGCCTCTGGAGGTGACTTCCCATTGACGCGCTTGGATGGAACCTGCGCTTCCTTGGCAGCCTTTTTGGCCATGGTGGCAGGTAAGGCAGCTGGGAGTTCAGGGCCAAAGAGCTGGTGGGAAACGATCAGATACAAATCGCACGAAGATTCTCGCTTTCTCGGGTCGAGTTTGCAAAAAAAAACAAAAAGGAATTTGAAAACACGCTGCAGATTGCTTGGTACCGTTGGAAATTTGCTGGATTCTACAAATCGCCATCATTCGCGGCAAATCGCCACAGAATTCTCTCCAAATCGCCACGTTTTGGGGGACTGAAAATGCCAAAAAAAATTAAGCAGTCTCGTGTTTTTTGGGGTTGCAGTCCCCTTTTGCCCCAGACCTGCAAGGGATGTTGCCCAGTGGCACCTCTTCTCAACGATCTGCAGTGCTGCATTACTCCTGGAAGCGATTGTCGCTGGCTGGGATCAGAGCCTTGTCCTTGAAAAAGCTGGTGAAAAGCTATGGGCTCTTGTTTGGACAGTGTTACAAGATGTCAAACGTATTGGAGAAAGATCTATTGTAGTATAGGGCCAACCTGAATGGTCGAAGATGCAATGTATCTGTTTTGCTCGAAGCCCCTAAAGATTGTTCAACCTTCTGATTGAAGGCACTGATCGAATTTTGGCATGAGGATCGAATTTTGGCATGAGGGAGCATATTGCTTTCAGCAATGCGTCAAAACAACACAATGCATGTGTCGACACAAAAAAGGCTACTTCAGCAGCCATGGAAAGTATTTGTGTTCACTTTCCATTTTCAACTAAGTAAGCAAACACTGGGTTGAGATCTGCATGCTTAACCCAATGGGCATTCTCACGTGGACGCTTGTCCATGCGATTTTTGGTGTTGGCTGCCTCTTTGAGGAACTTCTTGGCCTGGGATCGAATCTTCCTCTTGTTGTTGGAGCGAATCTTGGACAAAGCACGGGCAAACCTGGGATTGGTGATGAGGGGGCTACTGGTCCAGTTCGGATCTATCACCTGCTAAAATGATTATATATGTTTTAATGAATATCGATAAATTTGGTCCCTTGAAATAATGTACATTTTTAGGGGGTCCAAAAGTGGTACATTTCTCTTTGGCATGGTCTTAAGCCAAACACCATTTGCAAATACCACCAAAAGACATTGCGAGGCTGGAACCTTTGCCTTGGGATTAGCAACAAATATGAACTGGGAAATGCCTATCGAACCCAAACATATACTGAAAGACCAGACACCCTCTTGGGTAGTGCTGGGATTTTTTAAGGTCACAGCCACCTTTGCAGCGCTGCTTGCCACTTCCATCTATGTAGCGAACTGTCATCTGGGGACCAGAGCCAGACGATACCCTGGAGGGTCTTCGCTCTGCAATCAAATCATCTATTTCACGATGACCTGAGATGGGGGATTTGGGCCCAACCACAACAACAGGGAGATGGATAGTTTGCTCACTTGTGTTCTTCTTCAACTTGGGGAGGGGGGGTGCACCACCCCCCCCCAGCTTTGTCACTATAGCCATTCATAGTCACTGTAGCCATTCACAAAGGGGGGGTGGGTCCACCCCCCCCTCAGCTGCCGACAAACAAGGGGGGGTGGGTCCACCACCCCCCCCCCTCAGCTGCCGACAAACAGGGCGGAGTGGGTCCACAACCCCCTCCACCCAGCTTCCAACGATCAGGAGGGAAGGCTCCACCACCCCCTACTCCTCATCTCGCAGCAAATCTTTTTTTAGATTTTGGCCTGACTAGAAGTAGAAGCAGTAGTAGTAGTAGTAGTCGTCGTCGTCGTCGTAGTAGTAGTAGTAGTAGCATAACACAAATTTACGCTTTGGAGTTAGTTGTTGATAGTAGTAGTAGTAGTAGTAGTAGTAGTAGTAGTAGTAGTAGTAGTGGTAGTAGTAGTAGTCGTAGTAGTAGTAGTTGTAGTTGTAATAGTAGTAGTAATAATAGTAGTAGTAGTGGTGGTAGTAGTAGTAGTACAAGTAGTTGTAGTGGTAATAGTAGTAGTAATAGCAGTAGCAGTAGCAGTAGTAGTAGTAGTAGTAGTAGTAGCAGCAGGAGTAGTAGTAGTAGTAGCAGTAGTAGTAGTAGTAGAAGTAGTAGTAGTAGTAGTAGCAGGAGGAGTAGTAGTAGTAGTAGCATTAGTATTAGTAGTAGTAGTAGTAGTAATAGTAGTAGTAGTAATAGTAGTAGTAGTAGTAGTCGTCGTCGTCGTCGTCCTCGTCGTCGTCGGCGTCGTCGTAGTAACAGTAGAGTAGTAGAGTAGTAGAATAATAGAGTAATAGAGTAGTAGGGTAGTAGAGTCGTAGAGTAGTAGAGTAGTAGTAGTAGGAGTAGGAGCAGGAGTAGGAGTAGTAGTAGCAGTAGTAGCAGTAGTAGTAGTTGTTGTTGTTGTAATAGTAGTAGTAATAATAGTAGTAGTAGTGGTAGTAGTAGTAGTAGTTGTTGTAGTAGTACACAGGAAGAACATGGTTCTGGCTTGGATCCGTTTCGTTTCGCTTCTTTTCCTTTGTGCCTTGTTATTGTTGTTCTCGTTGTTGTTCTTCCTTCTTCTTCTTGTTATTGTGTCTGGTGTCGTCTGTCTTGTATTGTGCCTTAAACATTACCCCACATAAATTTCTTAAGGCTGGTGGGGGGCATGGGGGGGAGGGCGCAGCACCTCCCCCCCAAAGAACACAGGAAGAACATCGTTCTGGCTTTGATCCGTTTCGTGTCGCTTCTTTTCCTTTGTGCCTTGTTATTGTTGTTCTCGTTGTTGTTCTTCCTTCTTCTTCTTGTTCTTGTGTCTGGTGTCGTCTGTCTTGTATTGTGCCTGAAACATTACCCCACATAAATTTCCTAAGGCTGGTGGGGGGCATGGCGGGGAGGGCGCAGCGCCTCCCCCCCAAAGAACACAGGAAGAACAGCGTTCTGGCTTTGATCCGTTTCGTTTCGCTTCTTTTCCTTTGTGCCTTGTTATTGTTGTTCTCGTTGTTGTTCTTCCTTCTTCTTCTTGTTCTTGTGTCTGGTGTCGTTTGTCTTGTATTGTGCCTTAAACATTGCCCCACATAAATTTCTTAAGGCTGGTGGGGGGCATGGGGGGGAGGGCGCAGCGCCTCCCCCCCAAAGAACACAGGAAGAACCTCGTTTTGGTTTGGATCTCTTCTGTGCTATTTTTTTGATATGTTGTTGTTGTTGTTGCTGTTGCTGTTGCTGCTGTTGTTGTTGTTGTTGTGGTCGTCGTCGTCGTTTTTCTTCTTTTATTTTCTTCTTCTTCTTCTTCTTTTTCTTCTTCGTCTTCTTCTTCGTCTTCTTCTTCTTGTTCTTCCGTTTGGTGCCGTCTTTGTTGTATCCTGCTTTCATCATTGGACCGCATAGATATTCTAAGGCTGGTGGGGGGCATGGGGGGGAGGGCGCAGCGCCTCCCCCCCAGAAGAACACAGGAAGAACATCGTTCTGGTTTTGACCTGTTTCCGTTCTGTTCTTTTCCTTTGTGCCTTTCAATTCTTATTTTCGTTGTTCTTCCTTCTTCTTCGTGTTCATGTTTTTAGTGTCGCCTTTTTTGTGTTCTGCTTCATTCAATGGCGCAGATTGATTTCCAAAGGCTGGAGGGGGGCATGGGGGGGAGGGCGCGCCTCCCCCCCAAAGAACGCAGGAAGAACATCGTTCTGGCTTTGCTCCGTTTCGTTTCGCTTCTTTTCCTTTGTGCCTTGTTATTGTTCTTCTTCCGTAGGGAACTGCTTGAGATGAGCTGGAAGCAAATGGTCGAAATTGGTTAAGCGCATTATGCAAAAGATGACTACCATAAGGGAAAAAATGGACACTTGTTGTGATCGTATGAAAGGAATTTGCGAGGCAGTTAAATAAATAGAGCCCCATGCCTTCTGAGGTTTGGCGCAGCCGGCATGAGAGATTGAATGGAAAGAGAAAAAATCCGCTGGGTAGGGAATTGCTTGAGATGAGCTGGAAGCAAATGGTCGAAATTGGTTAAACGCATTATGCAAAAGATGACTACCATAAGGGAAAAAATGGACACTTGTTGTGATCGTATGAGCTGTCATGGATGTGTGGAGTCTTAACCATTTTCACACACAAGCACCTACTCTTCATGAAGCTTACTGTACTCTTCATGCAGCCTACTCTTCCTCTCCCGAATCAATTTTGAAGTGGACAAAAGAGATCCCTCCCCTTGAAGGGGTGGAGGTGGGGGGGGGTGGTGCACCCCCCTCCACATTGGATGGGCACAGCTGGGGGGGGGAGGTGGTGCACCCCCCCCCCACCTTGGATGGGCACAGCTGGGGGGGGGAGGTGGTGCACCCCCCCGCACCTTGGATGGGCACAGCTGGGGGGGAGGGGTTGTGCATCTCCCATGGTCTGAAGGTAAGCTGTGGGTGGTGGATATCCAGGCTTTTGAGGGAAGGGATGGTGCGTTGTGCAGGAAGAAGATACTAGCAAGGCTGGGGGGGGGGGGTGCACCCCCTCCTAGCTTGAGCGGGCTTGGAGCAAGGCTGGGGGGGGGTGGTGGTGCACCCCCCCCTAGCTTGAATGAAAGTGGACGCCAAATGGAGAACTCTCTAGGGAGATGTCACCAACCCCATCTGGAAATAGGGGTGAAACCACTACGTCCTTTGATTCAACTATGTGACATATGGGCTAACAAGTTACTATAGAGGGACACCTTGTTGAACAGCAAACAACAATATGATAACAGCAAACAACAAAATGATATCATTTGTTTCTTGCTTTTCAAGGGACTGGAGTATAGAAGTGTAGCTTTATCACTTTCACCTCCGAAATCCTTCATCTTTATTCTAAGTCGATGAATCTGAAGAAGTTGCAGAAGTCGCTGCATTGTTGGGTGAAGTTCCATTATACTGGATCCAGGTTGCTCCAAAATGGACCATATCCCTTTAGCGGCAGCTAAAAGAAAGAGAATCATCACTCGAGCTGTCATCACGTTTCCTTGGTGCACCTTTTCGGAATCAGGACGACCGAGTGGTGAATCAGCACTTCGAAGAGTCGACCCTCTGCTCCTCAAGCGTTTTGGGACGTGGTTGGTGGAAGCCTTTTTGGGTAGGTTACCCATAAAATTGTTTATTTCTCAAAATAGAAATTATTCGCAAATATCTTAAATACTTTTGAGGATCATCCATTTTGAGGTATATCCACATACTCTTTGGGCATCACCCACATAACCACATACCCACATAGATATGTGGAAAACATTGGTTGGAATATCTTTGTTGGTATTTGCAAGTAAAGCCAAGGCACATGAAAACCCATGTGGAACATACCGGTGCATGTAATGAACCACTGCCAGGCTCCAACCGAAGAATTTGGTAAACCGCATTGGCAAATCCCTGGGGTGAGAGAATGTCTTGGGAAAAGGGGTCCAGCTCAATCTCGAAAGGAATCGCATGTCTTCCAGCCTGCCGGCCGGGTGTTTAGTAGCATAGGGTCCCCAAACACTAAAATAGGATATTTGATTATATCATGGATGGATGTTCTTCATGGAATTGTTTCCCCGCATTTTTTGTAGTGTATTTGATTACCGTCTGAATTCACCTACTGGACTTGTGAATCTGTGCCCAAAATGAAGCCCCATGGGGTTTTGATTAACCTTGGTGAATTCAGTGGTGCCTCCATCTCAGCCTTTGTGACTTCCATACGCCCAGCAAATGTTTCAAAGTGCTGCGTGGCACTGAAATCCAAGCCACCACACGCAAAGACCAAGCTGGCAAGCATGCCAATCACCTAGGGCCGGTTCCAAGATATGGCTGAGCTGACTAATGTGTTTGTGTTCCTACTTGTCGTTTGTTTGAACGCATGCGTTTGAAATTGATCTGGATATATGACTTCCAAAGCTTAGTTCCAAATTCTGTATTGATTGGACAAGGATTGAAGTGGATAACAGCATTACAACTAAAATGTTTTCATTGGTTGAGAGGGGAGTCCCAAAGGGCAAGAACAGCCAAGGTATGAAATTCTCGAGAGTGGCCGCTGGAGCTCGCAGATGCTTCAATCCAGTCAGGACCCAGCTGCGCTGTTTCTGCTTCATGGTTCGGCGCGGCTTAGGATCACACTCCTTTGCCTTCTTCCGCTTAGGGGAATCAAGGCCATCATCATGTTCAAAAGGCATTTGTTCAAATTTGCGACGCGGCATGCCTTCTCAGATTTCTACGAGCCTACTGTATCCCAAATGTTTCGCTGCGAGTATGATGCCGACACTGGAATCCATGTCAAAATTATCCATGCATTATGTTGGAATGTGAGGTTCAGAACATCCCCAAAGACACATTTGTTGTTATCCCCACACCTGCCGGAACCTTATCCCAGCAGTCAGCAGTCCTTGGAAATTTCACCGCTGCAACTCCTTTATGGCAACTCATGGTTGGGAACCCCCAAGGCTGGTGTGATCATTTTGTCAACAATAATTGGCCAGGCCAAGCTATAGAATTCCAACCTCTCTGCTCTTAGCATGCTGACATGCATGAGCCCTATGCAGGATCTACAACATGCGATTCACTTTGGGATTGTTTCTCATCTGCACTTGGTTTCCGGGAGCAGTGGGAAGATGCAAACTCACAGATGGTGCGACCCCAACCATTTGACCCCAAGAAGCATATTGAGTTTCTGGTTAATTCTTGAACTTGATAAAAATGTGTTGATAGGCTTCCCTCTGATTTTTTGGGGGCAGTTTGAACATGGAACACGCCAGCCCAATCTCCTGGCACCGCTTTGATCTTCAAATCGGTTTCTGGCATCACCTGCGTCGGGCTGCTGATATGGTTTGACAATATCCAGAAGTAAAGGTGCAGGGATTTTTTATATATATGTAACTTCGACAAAGATCTTGAGACGATACCTCTTAGTTTTCCACGAGATATGACTGGGTGTCGAACTCTGCTTTCCCATTCATATGAAACGAAACACAATCACACCTCACCAAATGGTTTTCCAGTTCAATTCACGCGGAACGATCGACTGCTATTTTACATGCTATGGAGCACCTGCAGCTGACCATTGCAGCAGCAGCCTACGCCCCATACACATGTCCACACCCATACCCATGTTTGGAAATAGGATCCACCCTCATGTTCTGAACATGAAGGATGTAGGACCACCAAATGCTACGATCCATCAAAAAGCTAAGAGCTATGATCTACCAAATCCCCAGCACATCACCATCCTTTGAGAGATGATATGCCTGATAGGCTCATGGGGTGTTATCAAAGAAAGCACGATTCTTGGCACATTCCCAAGCAGCTGCAACATCCGAAAAGCGGGACCAGGTGATCTGCCCAGTCAATCCCTCGGCAGGCGGGGCTCCATTGGCACACTTCTTTACTACGAAAGCTTTCTTGCTGCACAAAACCTCGATCACCTTGGCATGCGGTGCAGAGTCAATATAGGAAAGAAAATGTAATCATCTTGGTATTCAAATGCCATATGTATATTGAAAGATTGAGAGAGATATATGTATCTTACATATAAATATATGTATATCTATTTATATATATGTTGATAATACATATATATATATATGTATAGATAGATAATACATATAAATAGATAAATTGATCATAAATAAATAAATGAATAAATTGATGAATATATATATATGTATATACACATTGGTTTTAGATATATATATATTGGTTATAAATAAATAAACATATGTGTATATATATAGATGATAAATATATATAGATGATAAATATATATATATAGGTGATAAATATATATTGGTGATCTATACATACATTGATGATATATATATATATATATTGATGAAATCTATCTCTATATATATGATATATATATATACATTTTTTTTTAATTTATTGATGATATATATATATATATATATATTTATTATATATACCATATTTAGTGGTAAATAATTTATTTATATATAAGACGTATACACAGACATATATATATAATAATAATAGAAATATTTTTGTCACTACATACTAATACATATATATATATATGTTTATGTGTGTCTGAATAGTTTGTCATCGAACCCAAGTTGGGAAACACATTCAAATCTTCACACGAATGTTATTCCCAAACTCCCAGATGTAAATCTACAGATAGATAAGGGGTTGTGATGTATGTCCATGAAACAAAAACGTTGTCGAATTTTGACACAAGAACTGCTTTGGTGGTGGCAGAGGTCACCGTGTATCCATGGCGTCCCCGGTTGTCTTTCTCCTTTGATGGCCAAGCCTCCTCTGGAATGCCCAAAGCTTTCAAATCATGCCCTTTGAAAAACTGAGTCCCATCATACGGCTCGAAGGGAGCGGGTGGTTTGGTGGCACCCTTCACGTGGCCCTTCACCACTCCCTTGGCCTTCGCAGGCTTCTTCTTGTCCTGAGCGAGCGGTGCTTTGAGTGGCTTGCGAGCGTTTGTGAAGGCAAGACTCCAAAGGTTGAGAAAACTTCATTTGGGGTGCGATGATTTGACCAATTTTATCATACAAATAATTCATGTCTACTATTGTCTATGTTAATTAGAGTTATCAGCAGGCAAGGGGTATTTGGTTCCAATGGGCTACCACCCAACATAAAAATAAACCCCAAATCATTTAACATGTAGACTTGTTCAAAGGTTCTTTGCCCTGTTTCCCGGGCACACTAGAATCATTGGCTACATTGCCCATCCCATCATGGAACGAATCCAGGGGGGGCACTTCACGCTTGCCACGCACTGACGGCTCCATCGACTCATCAGAATCCATGGACTGATCCTCACTGGAGTCCTGCGATGAAACGCTGTAGCTGTGAACTGTCAACAAGTAACTTCGGTGATCCACAAACCGTTTCAGTTTAAGGAATGAATAGTGGATTGTGGTCAAATTCAATTTTCAAACATACCTGCTGGATTCATCCATGTAATCTTGAGAACTTCGTTGGTGCTGACCAAATATCATCCATCATGGTTTCTGATTTGACATGAATGGTTAGACTTGGTCGGGGTGTCCTGATCCGTGCTGGGGAAGTCAGCACCAGCCAGTGGGCGAGCAACAGGCCGCGCTTCGCATGCCTGTCATTTCACCGTGGAAAAAAATCTATGATGAGTTTTAAAGATTTTTTCATTGGATGACATGATTGAAGGTAACATCTTATGGGCAAAACTTGAATGGATGCTGATGGGGAAAAGATGGACATGACTGCAAACGTTTCCTTCTGTTCGAACAAATCCTATCGTTTGGCTAGAGTTGGAGTCTCCGCTATGGGATTTGGAATGTGTCTGCATAAACTTCGAAATTCCCATTTTCTGAACATTGTTGGAACATTGGAACATGTCCTTATGCAGGGTTTAGGAAATGACCTGCTATCCTATGAAAGTCATTGGAATGTTTCCTTGTATCAGGGTTTGATTTTTGTTCTGGGTGAGTTCCCAAACCTAAGAGTCTATGAGAATCATTGGAACATTCTTTGGAAGGGTTTGGAATTTACATGAGTTTACTGCGGGTGAATTCTCAAACGACTGCTTTTGAATATCATCAGAACGTTTCCTTATTAGTGTTTGGAATGTATTGGGGTGAATTTCAAACAGATTATCTTATGAACATCACTTGAACATTTATTGGAAGAGTCTGGAGTTTATACGGATGAATTCTGGCATAGCCAAATGTCAAACATCATCGAAACATTTCAATTTGGAAATGGAAATTGAAATTACCTTGGAGGAATGTTGAAGATACGTTCCTATGCAGGAAACGATTTGGTTGGACAAAAATATGTCAATATACAATTGGTTCTAAAATCATATATATATACACTATAATATACCCACCCCCCGGCCTCTCCACCATGAGCAGATCGGAACCAAATCCAGTCCTCATAGGAACCAAGACCCTTGGTCTTGTCAGAGAGCTCACCAAACTCTGCAAACTTCTCCAGGCAGTAGTTCATGTAGTTGCTAAAGCGGGGATGCCTTGCGAGGCTATAGCATTCCATGATGGAAATGTGCAATGCACCAATCAAATTTGAACCCATCACTTTTGGTAGCGGAGCTGCGCAAAAAAGAAATAAAATGTTCCTCAACTACTTCAACAAGATACTGCAAATCTTCCAAGCTGAAAGTCCCTTCATATTCCTCTGGGATCAGGCCGTTGAAATGCATCTCAGCGAGCACATCCATAGGCACCTTCTTCCGCTCCAATTTCTCGATGCGGCCCAAGACTTGGTAAGCCTTGCCCCACCAAGAGCCTTTGACTTGGCTATCCCTTTGGTCCTCATCTGAGTCAGACCCCTCATTTCCACGGCCTGGAAGCTCCAGCGTCTCAGCAGACAGGACACTGTCATGCTGGCTTGGCCCCTCCTCCTCGTCAGACAGGTCAGAGTTGGCAACCTCAGCCTGCACCAAGGCATCCTCATCAGCTGCAGCTGGCTCATCGCTAGAAGAGTCGGCATCTACAACTGCAGCAGGCGCTGCAGGCTCATCTTCATCTTCATCGTTCTGCTGCGCTGCAACCTGACACAAGTCAGCGGCAAGGGTGGGCCATTGCATTTTTTGGTGCCATAGTTTTGGGTACCAAACGAAAATATGTCACCATGCACCAAAAAAAAACATGGACGCAAACCCGCACTAGAACCAACCCTATGAGGGCTATAATCGGAAAAAGTACTTGCATCATCCACCCATGTACCTTTCGAGGTGAAGGGGTCAGCAGCGACTTGAGTTCGGTAACGTGCGGGTGGTTCCCAGTCTCAGAAGAGCGCCAAAGGGTGCGGGTAGCGCCCACCAACTTCTTCAACTTGACTCCCTCTTCCGCCGCCAGGTCCAACTTTGACAATTGGTTCTGAGGGCCCAGCAGCAAGTTTCCAGCGAACATCTGGTCCAGTCGCATCATCACATCTGTGAGGAAATAGCCGCTTGGCACCCGATCTGGACTGAAGGCCAAGATGGGCTTGAGGTAGTGGTAGTTGGCAGCAACATCAGCAGCGCATGGCCTGCAGAGCACAGAGTCCAAGCGGACGATGCGGCCACCTTTCCATTCCTTCTTCTGAAGCATGTGGTGCACTGTCAGTGGTAACTCACGCATGATGCCACGGGCTACCTCGTTCACATCTGCCTCCTTCCAAGGGATACGGCCAGGACGGCAGGAGCGCCAGGGCTTCTCCTGCAAAGCCGCAGCGCCACCGCCCT